TTGTTTTTTTTTTTTTTTTTAAATTTAGTTTTTGGCCAATTGCATCAAGCAAGAAAATGCACTCATGCATCCCTCTGACAGCTCTCCCACATTCTCCAGGGCAGTTTTGTGGTGCTGGGCTGCATCAGTTTGCATGACCATTAAAAAAAAAATAAAAATTAAGATAGTATGACAACAAGGAAGCTGATACACAGCCCGTGAGCAAGCCTGGCTACACACAAAGCTGGTCTCGTTTGTCTAGACACCCCCTTCATGAACGGCGCACGTGATGCCAGCTTTTATTTTTTTCATTTTCTTTACTTTGCGGGGAGGATGAGGACAGAATTTGGCTTAGTGTTAAGCTAATGATCAACACAAGGATTGATACTCTATTAATGGTAATCAAAATGTGTTGGTTTCAAGAGCTCAAACAGAAAAAAAAAAAAAAGAGAAAAAGAGTTCATTCAATGCCACGTGGCTAACACACCGCTGAATGCTAGTACTTTGTTCTTCCCATTCAGTACCCATACGTTCGAGGGTTTTGATGAAATAATCACTACTAATTGAAATAATTCATACTAATGCCACAGAGTTTTAATTTTCAATTCTCAGTGGGGGCCAGGAACACATTCCTGGAAGCCAGAGTTCATGAATGATTTTAACAAGTATTTTATAGGCTGGAAGCTTCAGCAGAACTCGCACGCTACTCTCCACACAACTCAGATATTCAGGTCATGTCAAGATCCATTTTATTTTTCTGAATTAACATTTGAGTGATTAAAAACTCTTTAAAAATCTATAGAAAACAAATTGCAATAAATGATGCAGAGTTTGTACCTGTCCAAGACTTCCCCATATCTTAGCTTGAATGGAAGGATACATCTGTTTTTCATTTATTGTCATTGTGATAAGCTTATCGAGAATAGCAGTGACTCGCTGGCGCTTAGCGTCGTCGTTGTGTTTACAGAACCGGACCAGATTGGACAGCCAGGGAGTCATATACTCCAGACAAAGATGTTTCAGTTCAATACCTGAAATAAAAAGTTCACTTTGTAACACGGAATCAGCACTGGTCTCTATTTGTCAGTAAATAATTTATTTGTGAGCGCTTTCCTTTGGGTTTTATTGTCTAAAATAATTCCTATCAGAGCTGAGCCAAATAATACTGGGCAAACAGACAGGCTTCAGAAAGAAACATGCTCTGATAATGGCATCCAAGAAGCATCTGTAGGAAGCCAGCAAGAAGCTGCTGACATTTTAGTATCTTCTTAAGAGATACGGCATCAAGATGTGTACAGTCAGTATTAGGCAGGACTACTTACGATAATGTCTTTTTAATCTCGAGATGTATTCTAAACAGCTTCCAACAGCGACGTCGGAGCTGTATTACACTTGGAAATAAAGGATGACAAAAGTAGTGCAACGGAACCAGATTTACAACGGAGAGAGATAATCCGAAAAGAGGTACCCGCTGTGCAAGACTACCAACAGGGGTATGAAAGGAATCATTGATATTGTGATCTCTGCATTCCTCTACACGAATGAGATGTCTGGTAAAACTTGTTTTAACATTAATTTCAAAGGTTGAAAGGCAGTTGCCTTTTTTGCTTCATGAGAAGGGAAAGGGCACATTCAAATGTGAAAAGTAATGGGTTTGCTCCAGCAGATGCCGTTCCAGTTTGTGAAACTGCCTGGCTTTCGAGTATTACGCAACTTGATTAGTAGGGAAGGGGTATAAATGGATAATCTTGAGAACAGCTGAACCAGCTCTAAGAAGCATTTGCAATTTAAACTTACTGTGACTTGGTAACACGAGGAAGCTTAATTGACTAAGCTAGACAGCTACCAGCTTGAATCTTTTAAAATTCATGGTTAGCATTAAGGAACAGTAGCGTTACTTACTAGATTTGCTAAATCCAGAAATACACTCTTCCAAGAACTCTAAGGTAAGGTGTGGTTCGTTAGCGGCAAGGGTCTTACTAATAGATACAATAAATAGCGTGTTGTTGGCAGGAATACACAGACCTGAAGTTTCCAGTAACTGGCCCTCAATCTTTAAATTAAAGGTACAGGTTAAGGCACATAGAAGATTATAGGCAGCAGACCTGTAACAAAGCAAGCAACGTGACTTGTAACAGCTTTCCTGTAGATTTTAAAGCATACACATTACACCAAGGCATCACAGTAACAGTACTGACAGCTTAAAAATCCAATCAATGCCGCTATGTAAGAGTTCACATTGAAATCCTCAACTTTTTCCCTGCACCAAGATTCAGAGACAAGATTCGCCTTGGAGGAATGAAAGAAATGACTCCTCCACTCGCTTTAAACAATTTCGGATGAGGTTAAAGAGTATGCTTGAAGGACTTGGCACTGGACTTCTCAGAACGGCTTTCAGTTCCAGGAAATCCTAAATATTTCCAGGTGCACCTGAGTTTCTGGGAGAGAGACTGCCAAGGGCCCCAGAGGCTGCCACCGAGCCAGCACCCACCCCGAGTCCTTTCCGACAAGACCCACGAGCCCGCTCCAAGAGGTACAGCTCCCGGGTTATTAAACAAGTTCAACACCACGTAGATAAAATGCACCTAATAAACACATGTTGCAAAGCGTAAGTATTTCTCCTTATAAAGAGAAATCGTTCCCTATGAGCCTTCAGTTACCCCGAAAGTATGTACGCCTCTCCTCACCTAGAGGAAACCCCATCTTTCTTTATATGAAAAAGTACATTTTATGGAGCTGTGGTGAAAGAAAAATTGCTTTGTTCAAGAGAGATTTGCTAACGCTAAGAAAACTTTGGGGAGAATTCACATTTTTGACCCAAGTTGATATTAATTTAAAAGATCTGTACCGCAAACTGGGGTCTGAGCTTCCCAGGTTGAGCAGCGCTATGTTCAGTAGTGTTCCAGGGACATCCTTAGGGCGAATTTTGGTATGCTGTGGGATGGAGTCTGGCTGCGACAGCTCCCACCGCGTCCGTATATGAATGATGGACCTAACGATGGCTTCACACTCCTGATGCATGAAGGTGAGTGGTGTGCCTTGGTTGGCAATGGTTAAGGTAAACTGGTTCTCATCAACAAGACATATTTCCTCAATTTCAGAGGCGTAGTATATGTCATTTAAAAACACTGTTTGTCCCAGGACTCTTGTTCGTTCTGCTGACGTCACCTGCACAGCTGTCGACCCAACCTTCAAAAAAGAATAGAAAAATGGTTCAGCACCTATTAACAACAACACAAAGAGAGAAAACTCTGACACTTATAATTTTATAAAGATAAATGTATGAAATTTTATACTCCCTAAAGCGGCACAACTAAAAGTTGTGATTTCTCCTCAAGACAGGAGAGGAGAATTAAGAGACAGTGAAATTGTACTCAAAACCTTATAAAAATCCAAGAATTCGCTAGGAGCAGCATTAGAAGGACTTACTTTAATAGAAACTTTGGTGTCTTTATGAGCCAGTTTGAGAGCATTGTGAAACACTTTCAAGTCTTCCTCCAAAGCCAAGGTAGCTGCTGGGAGTTTCTGCTGGTCGTGCTCGATGTGCTCCGCCAGTTTCCCTGGAGAGTCTATGAAAATAAGCCTTTTGCTTCCTTTCAAACCTGTCAAGAGCCTTTCATGGTATTTGGTGTATTCTCTGACCCAAGAGTTACAGTTATAAATAAAAACCGCTGAGACGTTTTCATAAGCAAAGCCTGGAAAAACTACAAACCATTTAGAAAGAAAGTCTGTTTTAAAGCGATTACTGGGGCCAGCGTGCGTGAGGTCCACTACAATTTCATATGGCTTTGCATAGTATGGCTTCAGAGTCAGCAGGACGTGGTATATCAGTAAATCTCCGTTGATCTGACCAGTCTTGAATCTGTAAGAAAACAAGACAGACATTGCTGGGTTTGCTTTTTAGAGCCACATTACAAACATTTCAGCGACGTATTACACATACTACTATCCACTAAACCAGACCGATCTTTCACATAGTTCTAAAAATTCCATCCATCCAAAGCAACGGCCCTGGACTGGCAGCTACAGCCTCAAGGCATCCGTTACTGCTGTGTCACGGCTCACACTCCAACCAGGTTTAGTGCCCAGTATGATGAAGCTTGACTCAGGATTTAACTCAGCTTCATTTCTGCAATGCCACACAACCTACCGCAGCCAAGCAACCTCCAGAGGGACAGGTTTGTTCAACTAGAAGGAAAAATAAAATCCGTGCTGGAGAGCAACAGTGCATCAGTTGGATCAGAACTGGATTGCATGAAAAGAGCTCAGAGTTTCTTTAAAAATAAAAGTAAAGTATAAGTCACTCAAGCTAACTCTTCAATCTCTCTAGAGATTCAAATTATATCTATTTTATAGGTGGAAAAATAAATTTATTTCAGAAGCCATAATTAAGACTAATTAAGCATCCACATGCCAACTTTTTCAGAGGGTCTCAAACTCATTTCATTTGCTCTACACTGCAGCACACGAACGCTTGGTGGAACGTTTCTCAGAATGGTCTGTCCTCCAAATTTGCCTCCAAATTAAAACTCTTTCCAGAAAGACATTCAGACAATATATAAATATTAAGAACCTTTCTCTTCTCGTTTAATCATTCTCTGAATTTTATGAGACTGGACAGTGCATCTGCCTAAACCAAGTCTCCAGATTAATTAAAAATCAAGCTCAACAGTAGCTCATGAACATCTAAGGTACCTTTCAATGCCCATCACTGTTTCAAGCTCGCATTAACTCAACTCTTTCAAGACAAATCAACTGCCTATGGAAAGAGCTAATAAATACCATAACCACGTATGTGCTTTGTGTGTTGGGACACTGCTCTTGATAACATTTGAGGTAGACCACCTGAGCGTAGGATAACCGAGGAGATAAATTCATGAACGTAGAATATTTGTCTGCCAAAGGTACTTTTTTTTTTTCCCCTGTGTTACTTCCTGTTGTTCTGAGAGCTAATTTGGGCAAGTTGGTGTTTTTCCCCCTCCAACGTGTCATGGTACAGTTGTTACAAAAAGGAAGTGTGTCATCTCTGTGGTTTTGGTTCTCCACTTAGAGCAAAGGACGTATAATTTCAGTTACAGATTTGCTTAAAAAATACCAGCATTGTCTAAATCTCTGTGCTTTACGTTAATGGTGCTTGCATCCCAAGAGCAAACATATGCACAAAGAAATCTGATTGTCAGAGGACTAAATATCTCAAACACCAATTTTCTTTTGACTACATCTTGGCAAGGTAAGGACATATTTTCCTTCTCCTATTCTAACTTCCACTTCAAAGTTTCTTAGATTTTGTAGAAAATTGTATGCAAATGTATTTTTAAAGAAGTTCAAGAGTAATCTGTAAAAATATTCTCTCCAACTGAATTAAGGAAGTTGATATAACTGTATTTTTAGTACTGTTAAAGGTTATTCATAAGCAGACTCCGAAGAACTAACAGTGACAGCCATTACTTAGCTCTGTTGTTCCGATGCTGCGTACCGATAGAAGACCCTGTCAATACCTAGGCACAAAGGGCTGAACTGGAAAAAAAAAAAGCTCTTTAATGATCAGTTCCTTTGCTCTCATGACTTTAAGCGAAGCCCTTAACACCACCAGTTTGTTTATTTTTAAGAAAAGCACATCTGGTGTAGAACACTACAAGTAACACTGGGCTTACTGTATTCTTGGAGGGAGCAGGCAGAGACTTGCAGCTCTCGGACAGCAACATTAAATGTCAGAGCGTATCTGTACCAGCAAACACATCTCAGTTCTGCATATCGTGCAGGAACTTCATGTGAAACGTTCTTTAGTTCCCAAAAAAAGGCTTTGCTGGTGTTGCTTTTTTCCTTTTTAAAGTACGCTACAAGGCGTGCTCCAGGCAACCTTTACCATATAAAAAGTTCTACCTGAGCTGTAGTTGATTACTAAGATGGTTTCTAGTTCAAACTACGGATTCATCTCAGAACGGAGTCTGGTTTTGTGTTATGGCTGAACTGCAAAGGAAGAGACCATGTACCTTCAGCTGCTCCTTTGTCACGTAAGGACAGACACCCGCAGTCTGTCCCCTGTTTACGTACCAGGCGTATCACTTCAGCAACACGAACGACTGCTGCTTGGATTTTGCAAGATAGACAAGTTCACCCCTCTGATTTTTGGGAGTGAACATGTTAAGTTTTTTGGTAGGCATGCTAACTTTTGACTATGATAAAAGTAAACATTGTCTGGAATAGTTCAAAACTACCCAACCTTACAAACAGGCAGATACACTTCGTCACCTTTAAAGTGACAGCTTTGAGAACAAGTGCATTTATAAAAACAGCACTGTTACTTTTGGTCATTCTCTAGATATCTATATTTGAGCCAAATGTAGCCCATAACATTCAGAGGCAACGTTCTGCTCAGTTAACAGAGGCCGGTGACAGAGGCACTGGACTGGATAAGAAGCCTTAAACTCTGCGCGTGTCTCACGTGCAAACTGGACGAAGCAGCGGCAGCGAAGTGGTCACTGCTTGCCTGGTTCGCCGCTATCGTTTTGGGGTTATTACCTTCGTAACAGACCGACCGAGAGATCGGTTCCTGCCCTCCAGGCAAATGCAGCAGGTACAGGTTTGATCGCTAGAGAAATGTGAACCAGAAGACACTAATGGTATCATTTGCATAATTATCTCAGGCGTTTTAAAGACAAATTTGTGAGAAGTACATTTGTGATCAATCACCTTTTATACAATAAAGCAGAAGAAACAGCAAACAGAAGTTTTCCTAGGCATTTGCAAAATGACAGCTGTGCCAAGAAACACAACCAGTGAAAAGAAGCTGCTGCTGTCACTTACAGGAACATTTGAGATTAAAGCTTTTCTCTTGACCGTCTCTACGAGCACGGTTGCATTCCCCGCATTCAGGGGAAACAGGAAAGTCAGAAGCAGTAATCTGTAAACTACAGGGGTTTCTCCTTTCACTGTCTGAAAGCAGAAGTGATGAACCCGAAGCTGTGATACGGTCGGCTTTAAAGAGAGGAACTACCACAAAGTCTGCCTCGACTTCACTTTCCTTTCGCTCTTTGCTTCATGTTCTTTTTTAATCTTCATATATTGTCTCTAAACCTCAAACTGTCACAAGTTTGAGATGACCTTTTCTTTCAGAATCCCAAGTACTTGAACTCTTCCTCCTACATCCACTAAAAATGAGGTCAAGTTATGTATTTTTTTCATCAAAAAGGCTGCTGCCTACTATTCCCGAGAAGTCCAATCCAAACCTCTAAGAAGTAGCATTTGCTAAACTAAGACCACGATTTCTGTTTTTGCAGGTAACTAATTAGGAACATGAAGACAAAGGGACATGGTAACCCACACTTCGCCTTCCCTGTTGTGATAATCTTTTCTTTATGTTTGCAAACAAGTGCGAACCATACCGACTATCCTAGGGTTATAAATGAAACCTGGAATCCTATCAGCCAGAACCGAAGTGGAAGCCAGAACATAACAGAAGCCAATACAAATCCTCCTCTAAACATCAACTTCAACAGCAAAACAACAACTTTTGAAATGCGGACAAGTACCCTGCAATCCTTATCTTCAACAACGGCCCAAAATTCAACATCTTTCCCCACCAGAAGCGCTGTTTCTGCCACTGGAGGACCTAGGACTACCAGCAAACCCAAGAGCACAATGACAAAAGAAACATGTGAAGACAGTAAGTCTCTCATACTGATTTGCTTCATTGTAATAGCAGTCCTTGTGCTTATCTGCACCTTCTTGTTTCTGTCGACGGTCGTAATAGCAAACAAAATGTCCTATCTCAAAAAAACTAAGCAAGGAAAGCGTAGGCCCAGAAGCAATGGTGATATTCTGGCGACCAACAGTTTATGGCCCACTGCAGTGGGAACGTGGCAGAGGATGCCCAAGGAGACAACTGGAACCGACTTGTTAATGCAGGACTTCATATCAGGGAGAGACCCCGCGATCCAAAGGAAAACCGAAGATGAAACTTCTGAGAAACTCACTAAGAAAATAGACAACGAACAGGAAAACAAAGAACCACTGAAGTCACACAAACCCATTTTAACCAATTTTGTAGTTGAAATTTAATTCATACGCAGGTAAAACCTCATCTTTTGCCTTTTTTTCCATCATTAAATTATGGCAAAACCTTAGCTTTCAAGTAACAACACGAATTTTAACACAGGAAAGCTAAATTCAGATTTTAGGGTTTTTTCTTTGGCGATAGTGGGAATGCTGTAGCAACGTGTAGGTCTAGAAGGGAGTAAGATTGTGTTAAATAGCTTTCCATAAATACCATCAACCCCAGCCTTACTCCTTTGACCAGAAATCATGGTGATAGGAGCTGAACGGTAAAATAAAAGGACAGAAGTCTGCTCATTCTCAAAGTCATTGGGGGAGGAAAGGAAAGGACTGTTAGTCGAATAAATGTGCCATGCCATGAGGTGCTGTACAGGTGTAACCAAGTTGCTTTTTTAAGAAAACCATAATTTGATGCAGTCAGTGGATCAGGATCTAGTCCCTCTCAAAATACCCTTTCAGGTTTTTCCATCAAGAACTTCTTAAACCAGCTTAATTGCTTTTGAACCCAATTGAGATTTGAATGGTATTTATTGTGTTTCAACTTTGTCTATGAATATAAGGTTTGTATTATTTGTTAGAATATGAGAACTGTTTCCATTTGTTACCTATAATAAACTAGCAATATCAGTTTTCAAATAGCCTGGCTTATGCAATACTGTTTCTCTACGTCAAAATATTAAAAAAAAAAAAAAAAAATCTTACACAGGCATTTTTGAATATTATTTTCCTCTAACATTTGTTGAAGGTCAGTAAAGGTCTCCTCCGATGACTAGCTGTGACTTCTTGCAGCATGGAAACACACTCCACTTTGTCCTAATACAACCACCTAGAACATGCCAAAAATCTCTTCAGAACCACCACAACTTTTAGTTTCTTCTTGTATAGACCTGATTTTCCCATATTTCTGGGGAGATGTCTGTGTCTGGTCTCACTACAGTGGAGCTTTGTGAAGCCTTTCATGGGCTACTTCTTGGGTTAAAGATCTGTTGTATCATGGTTACCAGTGCTAAAACTGCACGGCAAAGCTCTAAACACCCCGTGCACCTGTAATGAACGTTTTTGACACGAGAGATGGTTGTATGAGTTTGAAAGAATCAGGATGTCAGACTAAATCCCCAAATCCACCTTCCATTACATCACCCATAAACTTATCCGAAAGGGCAGGTAAAGAAGCGACAGAGACGCAAGACGACAGCATCATGGAAGCCAGGGGAGCACAGGATCTCAAAAAAATGCAACTGCCTTTGTCAAAGGGGGCCTGCATAGTAGGGAAGATAACGCTGGAAGGAGTTTGCAAGCTTAGCCCAGAACTGGGAGTCATTAGAAAATAAGTTCATTGGAGGTGGAAAAAAAAACCCCAAAACTACAGGGGAAATGCCAATGAACCTGCTATAAACCACACGCTCAGACCTCAGAGCTCAGAGGGAGGAGGCACAACGCCACACGCAAGTAGAATGGGAGGACAGGGGATTACGTCAGGCATTTCTAAAACGTGAGGAGAAAGGCCAGAAGGATAAGGGCAAACTGAGAGATCGGTGATGGCAACCTCGTACTTAGAGGAGATGAGAACATCTCTGGCTGGTGACAGAGAGAGAGCTAAAGGGCACGGTTGGGGGATGCTGCATTGCAGCTACCTTCTCCTTCCCCAAAATGACCATGAGCACATGAGGCAACAGCAGAGGCTGTGCAAGTACTAAAAAAAGAATCTGACATAGCAAACATTGGAATCTAACCTGGTGTAAAAGTGCTCACAGCTAGGAAGGCAACAGAACTGAACCAGGAGCCTGGATCTGTAAGGGCGAGCCAGCCTGCGTACAGGAACACGCAAGCTGTTAGCAGGCAGCAGATTAAAGGGGCAAACCGGCATCATCGTGAAAAAAGCAGGCAAAAAAGGAAAGAACCATGACCATATCAGTGGAAGAAAAAACAGGAAGGAAAAAGAACTGTCAGTGAGGTGGGAACTGTGGCAAAAGATAGGTGGAGAGCATGAGGGTTGAAGAGAATGGGGATGAGATGAAGGCACCGGACGAGAAGCTATAATGCAAATATGGGATCAGGATTTGTGTTTGCTGCAGGAGCAGGGAGAGTCTGAAAAAGAGAACTAGTGCGATCAGGAGAGGGGCACATCGGGAAAAGCAGGAGGAGATGAAGCTGCAGAAGGATCTGGCAGCAGCTACTTGGCACTGGCAGGATGTGCTTGCGAAACGCCACGAGGATTTATTTGTGCAGGTTTCTTTTTGCCAGGCAGCTTTTCTAGGCAAAATGCTCAAGGAGACAAAAGAAAGTAGTTTGGGTTACGCTAAATGGTATGGATAAAGACAGATGGTGGGAAAAGAGCTGCTCAGAGAGCACAGCCCCCGTCAGTGACAGCAGCAGGTACCAAAGTCGCCCAGACACAAAAATAACATGGAGAGTTGGGTGCAGGAGCAGGGGGAAATCGGGAATTATCTGCCTTTTAATGCAACTGCACAGATGAAGATGGGTAAGCCAGCCAGCACGCTATGGCCAGATCGCTTTCGATGACTCACGGTAATGAAGCTAAGGTTGCTTTTCCACTAATAATCATGACAGCACACCAAAGCCATCCCCCGAAATTAAATCAGCAAGACTCAAATCCAATCCAAACTTGCATAATTTTTGACTCACACAGAAGCAACTGTATTTTCAGAGACAGGCAAACAGGAGAATTAATGAACTTCTGCAGAATAGGCACATACTGGGCAAAAGCCACAAACATTTAAATATTTGAGTTTTACAAAAACAACCGAGCTGAAAAGTTTGCTCATACAGCGTGCGGGCTCCGATAAGGCTCTTAGTAATATCCCTACTCTTGACACTTCCTGCAGCAAGCGTTGGTAAACTTCCTCTTCAGCTGCAGAAACCTACTTCAACATGAACCGAGCCATTTTGAGCTGCCTGACTTTCAGCACACGGGCTGTCTTCCTAAGGCTTCACGCTAAAAAGTAAGACGATGTTTGCTTGAGAGAAGATCAATGTGCAGGTAAGAGCCGACCTGAGGATGGAAAGGCTTTGTATGATTGGGGTTGAAAGGGAACTGCTCTGTGTACAGCACGGGGGACGTCCCAGCTTCAGGGTGTACTCAAAGCTCCTGCTGAATGCCTGGATCTCAGAAGCATTTGGGTTCCAAACCCATGTTGTTTGATGTTACTACGAACTCTCATGAACTCTGTATAGAAGTATTATTTGACTAGATTTTGAACAGAGGGGAGCAGAAGAAAGTTAATGGTATCGTTTTTACCTGTTACAAACCTTGCAGAGCTCAGATCACAATGTTCTCCAGAAGCGTTAACTTACCGCTCACAGGTGTTTACACTGTTGCATCTGAAATTTAACTTTGCACATTTGTAAACCCACAAAGATTTATGCATATTAATTTCCCAGAACAGCTTCACATGGCTGGCATGAATGTAATGAATAAATCAGCTCAAACTGTATGAAAGTAGCTTCAGATATAAACCCACCATGCAGGGGCTGTATTTTAGGATTTGTTTCATACATTCCGCTACCTGGACTCTAAACAGTGTGTGTGTGTGTGTGGGATCTGTTTTATGCTAACAACTTAAAATGAATGCAGTCTCCTTCATTACAAAAAGCATTCCACATGCAGGAATTTATTTATAAAGACAGTTGAAGATCAGAACGCCGTTCCATTACAGCATCAGTACTTCCAAACTTTTTAAAAATGATTACTCTCTACCCTTAAGTGCTGGGGAGAGGCAAGAACAGGAAACAGAAGTTTAAGAGAACTGTAAAGAGATTTTTACTTAGGTCTCGGCTTATTTCCATCAAAACAAGACAATTTGCTTTGCTCCTGACAGCCCTGTTTCTCAGTGCTGCTGCAGGCGCTTCATATTTTGTTCCGTTTACATGATGATAAATGTTATTTTGAAACACTCTTAGGACTTCTCTGCTGGTGTCTTTTTCTGGTAAGGTGAAAAAAGGTAACAATAACCAAGCCATTCTCTTGATTAGAACGATCAACAACGTTGAAGATCTGCCTGTCGTTTGGGAGGTCAGCGACAAACCCGCCGATTATACAGATGGGAACAGACATGACATTTTAAACATAGAGTCTAATACTATTTTCACTACTATAGTATTAACATAAAATGGCCTGGTGCCAGTAAAGCCTAAGTACACGACAAATACAGTTTTCCAGTTACTGTGTTCCATTTCATTCCTGATAAAGGAGGGGGCATTTAAAATGGCCAGCAACCAAGCAATACTGTTTCTCTTCTATGGAGGAATCTGGAAATCGCTTTCTACGGCACTACCCCAAGATGTTTCCCTGAGTAAAAGAAATGCATACACCAGTATGAGGGCTCCAATAGAAGACAAAGCTCCTCTACATCAACTGCAAGCAACCGGGCCCAGTTTACACAAATCTGGAAGAGCAGTGACTGTTACGACACCGCCCCAGTTCCCCAAAGCAGACGCAGAACCTAGCGATGGAAGCTGGATAGCGGCACTGATAATTGGCATCATTTTGATCAGTATGATAATGGCTATCGTTATAATTCTTCTGTGGAAATGCTGCAGGAGGCCAGTTCTAGTTGATTCAAATTGGGCAGGTCGTTCTCCGTTTGCAGATGGAGACACACCAGATGTCTTTATGGAGTCTGACCAGGCTACCAAACGTTCATCGGTTTTATTTATGTTGCCTTGGAAACTGAAACAAGAGACAAACTTACAGGGTGAGCTCACTGCTTCGGAGAAACCATCCAACTGCACTACCAGCAACGCCACCAGGCAGCTGCCTCCCCCAGCAGCAGGTTGCTCTGCAGCCTCCAGCCCCCAGGCAGCCCCAGCTCCCGCCCCAGAAGCGGAGAACTGCGCACGCGACTCCTGTCCTCACGCCGCGGCTCTCCCCGAATCCCCAGATCTGCCTCCTCCGCCTGCCTGGCTGACGGAACCAGCCGAGGAGCACAGCTCAGGTCTCGGCAAGCACCCGGAGTTTCACCCAGACACAGAGGAGCAACTGCCCCCGCCGCCCGAGTTACTTCATCAAGAGACGCACGAACCACCGCCCCCGCTGCCCCAGCCAGAACACCCCTTGTAGACTGCCAAAATTGATTTCCAGCACACTTTACTTTTTTTTTTTTTTTTTTTTTCTTTAAATGAAGTATTCTTCAAACAACTGAAAAAAGGAGAAGTTGACGCAGGCAAGAACAGTGAGACCGCAGCACGGGCACTTCCCCAGCGTTTCTTAACTTCAGCTTTCACAAAAGGGAACAACCTGCTTCTGCTTGAAGCAAATCATTTCAAAATGCAATAGGGGTTGTGCTCACGAGCTGCCGGTCACCAGTGATTCCAGATTTTGGAGACTGCAGAAAACAGAGTACGCGTACTTTGTGTGTCGGGATGTACATTCGTGTAGCATACGCGTAGACGTGGGGCTTTCAAGAAACAGCTTTAGAGGTACCCAGAGCTTCTAAAAATTGTTTGTTCTCCTAGGCTGTGTAAGCGGATGCAATGAATTCAAGTTCATTTTAATAAAGGTTTCTAATTCAAAGCTGTTTCGGTCACTTAAAGCACAACTGAGTATTTGCTTAGACACAAAGCTTTGAATTCCAAATGAAGTCCAAAAGCCTCAGCGTGCACACATACCGGCTTTGACACAACGGCCCCGTTTCTGCTGGGTAAGAACCTGGCAACGACGGATTACAGGTGTCTGAGCCGAACCCTCCCACCCGCCACCAGGGTTCTTCACTAACAGCAATGAGATTTCCTTTGGATCAAATATTGCCGAAGAGTTTCCTGGGGTGAGACCTCAGTCCCTTCCCACTCCTGCTCAGTGAAGTAGGGCAGAGTGAGAGGAAAGGGTTAACGGAGCGGCCACCAACAGCTGGAGCGGCTCCAGAGGCCCAAGAACAAGTACAAAAAGGCTTTCTTTTACCTAGATACTTCTGATTTTTATGGATGAAATAGAAACAGTTTGCAGGACGCCCAGGCAAACGATGAGCAGAAATAGCTGTGCGCAGTCACCGATTTCCTCCTCTGACGTAGTACTTTCAGAATGCAAACATTATTATTAATATAAACTTTAAAAATTAAGGTTGTGTGGATGCCAGATTCCTTTTAACTCGAGGCCCCTAAGTGTTCTACAAGCAAAGCTCACTGTCCTGTCTAAACCCGTGCATTTTCATAAGCTAACCTTCTGGTGGGAAGGAGAAGGGGGTCTCAGAGGGGAATGAATTTTTTTTTTTTTTTTTTTTTTTTGCCAGTATTGAACATTCCGATTTGTAGAAAGAAGCTGCTAGATGCCGAAGCTACTTTCCATGACATCTCTGCAAAATGGCAAAGAGTTTGTAGTTTTGAGTTTGCTTGGGGAGGGATATATCTGTGGATGTTGCACAGAGCACGTGTTTGCACATATTCTAACAATGAACTTCAAAATCTTTAAAGTACCACTAAAAATTGAAGTCCTAAGTTATGCAAATGCCATTCTAGGCTGCTGTGCATACAATGGACACGGGAAGGTATTTACAATTTTTTCTCACCATTTATATAAGCTGTATGGTTGTGTATGCCTAAGAATAGCATTCCAATTACGCAAAGATTTTTTTTTACAGCTCGTAGCATTACCCCATGTTAAAATTAACAGCACCATAAACTATATCCACTCTTACCATATTTTTCTGGAGGAATTCAGATAAAGATTTCCTACAGAAATCTGTAAAATCCTACAACCTGAGCTATGTTACACCTGACAATACAGCGACAGCCCGATCTGAGGAGTAGCAAAGTGAACATTTTAAAATGATGAAAAGATATTCTGGCAGCGTAGCTTAAAAAAAGCTTAAGATAGGAAGCCTAAATTAACATTAACCTTTATTACAGGAGGAGAGGTTAAGCGAAGGTAAAAAAAGAACACAAGTTAACATGACTTTTTAAATAGGAGCATTTAAATGGAATCATAGCCTAAGCTACGGCAGCCTACAGGAATTTCACTGGGTACTGTTTATGCAGGCAATCCTACACGTTAGGCTTTGCTGCACTAACACAGCATAAAATATAGATTCGGAGAAGATAACCGATGGAAGTTATAAAACCCAACTATTTTGTTGAAGATGCTCGCTTTGCAATAAATTTGAGTCAGCACCAACGACAGCTCTGCAGTCCTCCAATGTAGTGCAGATCAGGTGGTTGCAGAGCCCCAGCTCGCAGCAATACGATGCAGCTGAAGAGGCAAGCACAATCCACAGACAGCAACTGTAGCTACTCTCTAGAACAAGACGACCTCTAAGCCTAAAGCTTTCACAGAAATGATGTGCTGATATCGCAGAAGAGATTACGGTAAGTTTGTGTTCTTTGTTTTTAATCACAAAAACCTTCTACAGAATTAGAGACAGAAATAAGAACGGAATTATTAGTTGATGACAGATGCTTGCACCAGAAATTTGCTGCAGTGTCAGAGATTTCTTACTAACATTCGTTCAGCTTTCAAACATGTGTTATCAGCTTTGAGAATGTAATGAACACTATAATAAGGAAAAATAATAATGTGCATGTAAGCATGAACATGGAATTTGGGTTTCCAACTAAATTCCTAACAATTCACGATGTTTTTTAACCAATTCTACTTAAGCAAACAGCATGCATGAACGGGGGGGACTGCTACGTTGCTGCAGAGATTTGTAAAGCAGATCCAGTTGACAGCCATTTTTTCATCCTGTATAAAAGAACACATTATCCCAAACATAATATAGGCTTGAAATCACTAAAAACAAGAAGCAGACATTGTATAACATTTGGAAGAGACTTGCATTTTCGGAAGAAAGCCCTCATTTGAGCTTGAGGGGGAAAGGGAGATGAAAAAACAAGTCTCATTCTGCCAGACAACATGACAGTCTATGAAGGGATGCTTTGTAAAGTCTCTCTTGAACAATTCTAAAAAGGACCATGCCACAAAGGGGTTTATTGATATTTTTACTTAATTTCTCCTGCAAGTGCTCGTTGCAAAGACAACCCTTAAAAAGAAATAAAATATATTACATGGATTTAAAGGGTGTCGTTTTGGTCTATTTATTTCCAGGCAACAATGGAATACCCGATATTGAATGCATCTACCTGTCTGCTGGTCCTTCTGGTTTTCGTACCCACTGGTTTGGGTATCTGCCCCTCTAACTGTACATGCTCAGGAAATGACAGGAATGTGGACTGTTCAGGCAGAAACTTAACTGTGCTGCCACATGGACTTCAGGACAACATCACATATTTAAATCTGTCCTTTAACCAGTTCGTAGATCTCGATCATCAGCTAACGAGATTCACCAATCTGAGGACCCTTGATATTTCAAATAATTGGCTCAAGAATGTTCCTGCTCATCTGCCCAAGTCCTTATGGGAATTATATGCCATAAACAACAACATTAAGGTTCTTCAGAAACTTGACACAGCTTACCAGTGGAATCTTAAAGTGCTCGATGTCTCCAGGAATATGGTGGAAAGAGCTGTTCTGATCAACAACACACTGAGCAGTCTCAAGTTGCTCAATCTCAGTAGCAACAAACTTTGGACAGTTCCGACCAATATGCCCTACAACATAGAGACGGTGGATCTATCCAGTAACTTCTTGTCCCAGATACTTCCAGGAACGCTGGTGAGACTACAACACCTTACAAGCCTCTACCTGCACAACAACAAGTTCACATACATTCCTGACAAAGCTTTTGACCAGCTCTTTCAGCTGCAAGTAGTAACACTATATAACAACCCCTGGTCCTGCAGCGATGAACAAAATATCCTGTATTTGCTTAAATGGGTGCAGGGAACAGCTGCCAGTGTTATAGGGGCTCCCTGTGCCAATCAATCTGTGCTTTGGAGGAACGCCACCCCAACTTCAGCAGCTCCCACGGTTATAGACTCTAGCCTCATGATTAAAGGAATGAAGGCAGCGGACAAAGCTACTTCTCCAGTGGCAACTGAACCAACCCAAATGACAAAAATGCATAAACAACTTAAAGCTAAGGAAGTTTCTACCTTGGCGACCTTAAGCCAAACTGTATTGTTCACGAGCACAGACCGACCGCTGCTCCTCTATCCAGAAGATCCGACAACTAGGAAGGTTAGTTCTCAAGAAGCAGCAGCCACCCACACAATCTACATCAAAGATTCAGCCCAGGTGAACTCAAGCCTGGCTCGCTCAACAGGATCCTCCACTACTCCTATGACTCTGAGTATCACCAGTGGAATGCCAACAAACTACTCCAAAATGCCTCAAAGCACAACCGCTACCTTAAGGAGAGAGGAATCCACTACGAGTGTTTTGAATACTCATGTGCCCTCCAAAGCAAGTATCTGTGAGATGTATTTGGTTTATGTTGTAATGCTCAATGCAGTGGCAACGTTCATTGGCTAAGGGCTTGTCCCTTGTGAAAATTGTTGAGTTTATTCCTGTGACACATAGCTGGAGTTAAGACATCCAGGTCAAGTAATGAATCACAACACAAGAAATTCAAAGCTCTGACTCTGATCTAAAGAAAATAACAGTTCTTCAGTAAAGAAGTGCACACTAATGTCTTGATACTAAGCTGCTACTTATTTTAATATGTCTTAATTGAGTAAAACTAACCTATGATTTTGTTTTTTAAAATGTGCTTATTTTGTATTTAAATTTTTAATTTTACTTGCACAGAATAAACCATCAGAATTTTAAGTACGGATTTAATGTATGATTTTGTCATTAAACAACTGGAAAAAACAGAAGGCCTGTATCATATCTGCATTGTCTCGCTTGACTTGCCAGTGAGCAATTCTTGTAATATAGCAGCACAGATTCTTTGTAAGTTATGACAACATGCAAAAGGGAGGGAAAAAATAAAGGAACTAAACATAGCTGTTTCACTAATCAGAAGTTATTCCTGAGAAAAATCGCTAGCATGTATATCTATGTTTGCTTCATATGTACTAGGATATTTTAAATATGAAGAACAACAGTTTTGAATTTAGGAATTAAATATGTCAATGCCATGACGTCTGCTAAGGGGGTGTACGCTCAGAAGGCAACATGGTCCAACTTCAGCATGGGAACAGTGGTAGGGGCTGATCTCTCTTTTTGCTATGTCTTGACTTAGAGACTGCAGGCAAGTTATTTCTCACTCTCCATATTTTAAAAAAAAAAAGGTACAAGTAGAGGAAAACACAAGATGTTCAATGCCATGACACTCTCCAACAACAAGGAGTTATCTACACAAATTAACGAAATGGAACTCCTTAACTTTATTTCAAGTGACATCCAAAAATCTGACATGTTAATATATTATGCTTAAAAGAGTATCACAACTCAGCCTACTACTCTCTGATCAGTGAAATACCAGCCAATTTCTAATGCAAGTTATGTAACAAATCAATTAAGTAATTAGTTGTCAAGCTGTCATTGAAACAATCCTTGAATGCAGTGACTTAAAAAAAAAAATTCAGTCCATGGCATTGAACACGCCCGAATCCTTGCTTTACAAGGGTGAGCATGAATGCTATTCTCCTTGGCGTCTGCACCACCAGTGAGTAGAAATAGTTACACGCATGGTTCTGTCCACTCTAGGAAAATAATTTAAATTATGTGGCAAAGGTACTTGATATACTCCAGATGAAGTTTTGCAAACAGCATGAAATGAAAACTGAAGAACAAGTTCATTGAAAAGTATTATTCACTTAATATTACAAATCTTTATACAATGTTTTCCATTCATTTCAGGCCATTTAATTTCCTGTTATTGTAGCATGAAGGTGCTGCAAAACCCAGAAAACCTCACTACTGAGACCGGAGTCCTCTACCTATTTCTCCTAGGTGTCAACGAGGGCTGTAGACCATTTACAACCACTGGTATCGGAGAAATCACAACTTTCCAATTGTGAACAGTATTTCTATAACCAGAAATGTGTTTTAATTTCTAACAGTAAATGTTACACAATGAATTTGTACAGTTATTTCATTGGCATTTAAGTAAAAATAAAGTTACGTTTATATTGAACTGAATTAGTGACAGTGCTTCTTTTCAAATGAGCATAGTAATGTCACTGAATAGATAATGTTTTATTATACAAAACTACTTCAACCAGATGTTTGGCTCAATCTTCACATCTTATGGGGAAAATGACGGTTAAATCAAATTATATTATTTTGATACTGATGTATCCCTAATATTGTTTATTAAGAAGCTGATGAGATAATAGTAACGTAGGGTCTACCCTTCCCCTTCCTTCCCTTTAGAGCTTGCAAACACCTAGGGCATATCTCTGTCCACTAGGAAAAAGGAGCAATTTCTCCCCCTCAAAAAGAGACTCTCCATGTTTAATAGGACAGAAAACTTAGGAAAATTCCAACCAAATCAAAGACTGACATTTCATATACATTTTAGGCAGATGAGAACTAGGTAGCCAAGCCAAAGTTTAGACAACCCAGACCATGAGCAATATGTGCACAGTACCTACCGTGGCCAGCAGAAGTGCCTCATTACATGAAGTGGCTACCAGCAGTCAGAAAGAGTGGCCCACTTGCGCAAATTCCATATATTTTCCCCAGATTAAATAATCTGACGTGAACTGATAAATTCCACTAGCTAGGATCAGGATTAAAAAAAGAAGTCACTGCCTGCTGCTCTCTTTGGAGAGCCAACGCATTTGCTAAGCACCGACTGACTATGAAACAGCATCGACCTGCTTGTGTTCAGAACGAGGTATTTCCTAGAATTAGCTCATTCACTCGGCTTCATCCCACACGGTTTAAAGCCGCTTAGCTTGCAAGGTAGGACAGGGATCACAAAATGAGGTGCTACGACTAAACCGCCTCAGCTGGGCAATGACACGAAATCCTACAGGTGTCTGCTGAACAACTCAACGCAGGACGCCGAGTCCTACTGCAAGCCAACAACCTACATGGAAGCGACTTTGAATGCTCTGAGGATGCTTCACCCATAATGAGACTTCAGTGAGCAGTAACTGTATAAAAAAAAAAAAAACAAAACCCACTGGTTTCCAGAAGTTTGAGGCAAATTGCAAGTCCCCATACTAAATGGCTACCAGACTACTTAAGCCTGCTGATAAAAGCCTGCAGGTGGAACTGGGCTTGTGGGGTTTTCCAAACACACGTACAGGATCGGGAAGGTAGGATACAAAAAAATTGCAGATGGGTATGAAAGTAAGAGGGGACTCCCAAGCTCTAGGGCTGCGCTCTCTGCCCAAACCTGGCCGGTGGTAGGTGCAAGCAAGAGGGCTTCTCTGCCAGACTGCTTTCAGTAAAGCAGACTGAAATTTAGGTTTCCATGTATTTTTCTGGAATACAAATTAGTGATAACGGAGCGGCGAGTAGGCAGGCAAATGTGGGAGTCGTGCACTTGTTGCTTGGCAACAGCGCAGTCAAGTTGAAATAAAACCGACAGGCAGGGATGTGAACACAACAGCGCCGGTTTGTGTTGTTTTAAACATGCTGGTCATTCAGGCCAGGATAAATATAAAATAATCCATTCTCAGAGAAATTCTTTTTTCCACAATAACTACTTAGCATATTCCAAATACCCACAAAAGGTCTGGCGCAGCTCGTAATAGCGGTATGCTTGCTTTTGAAAGGTTCAAATTGCTGGAGGGATAGCTGCGGTCTGAAGCAGTAACTCAGAGGTTTGTATTCCTATTAATTAGTTTGGGATCAGCTTTAAAATGTAATGGCAGTGCTTCAGGATCAATATTTATTGATTTATTGATCATTTTAGTAACAGCATAGGGATTAAAAACAGAAGAGCACTGGCTTCAGAACTCAGGTTGTTGCCCAGGAAACAAAATGTGAAGAAAAATGACAGAAGGAATTAAATTTCACAGCACAAGAAGGGTACAAACCGACGCAGATCCATCAGTAAAATGACTCAACAATGCCCTAGCAACAAGATCTCAAACTACCAGGAAAAAAAACCCAACAACCCACCCCAAAAAACCCCTGGCCTACTGCAAGGCCTCAAGCATCCTGTCAGCTCCCATCTGAACAGACTTCCCACGCTTCACACCTTAAAAACCAACACTGGGCTCAGAACCACAAGGCGAACACCCCAAATAAGCTCGGCGCAGCCGCATCCCCGTGAGCAGGAAAGGGGGCAGAGCACCGCTCCGGAGCAAAGCCCCACCGCCAGGTCTGAAAGGCAGCCTCATGGGACAGAGCTGCTGAGGAGAAAGCAAGAATGAAAAGGGAGGTAAAGGCAAGCAATATTCCTCCTAGTAGCAAGGCTTATGTCAAAGTGTGAAAATGTTTTCATTAAGTATCCTGTACCTGGACAAAATGTACAGAAATCTGCCCCTTACCACCCCTTTTTGCAACGCAGGAGCACAGATCTGACTGGTACCGTGAGCGCTATGGTTTAGCAGTGATTTTTCATCTTCCTTTGAGGAACTGAGGTTTCTGCTCATTCAAAAATCCCTGGGACACAGCTTATAAAGCTGTTTTACTGAAGACAACTTTTCAGGTTGTCAAGCTGCCAGGTACCTCAGTCAATGATTAAAAGTTCAGAATTTCTGTAGAGTTCAATATCACAGAACTAGGGAAATCATCTCCATTCTTCTAAGACAGAAGAACAAGAGATCTGCAAGAGAGCCGAGGCCGTTCTGGAGCTCATTCGTATTGATCGTCTCTTTTCACCCCGAGAGCACAACGCAGCAGCAGCTTGCTGGCTGTGGAACCCACCGGCTGGGGGCACACACCCCGGAACACGTGCCTCCAAATACCCTTCGGTGGCCAGTTACGAAAGAGGATTCACTTCCACTATCGCCTGATGCTCAAGCTTTATTTTTAGTCCTCATCTCCTTTCTGCCAAATTCAACGATCCTTAAGCATCAGTTGCTAAATAAAAGGTCGTGGTTCTCCATGCTACTCTGGCGACTTAAAATGGAGCTTCACAGGCCGAAGAGGTATTTTAAAGTTTCACAGTGATGTAAATGGAATTGCACACATAGTAATGAGATACACAGAACTAAAGAGTTGCCATTCTAGGAATCCTATGCTGCCTGAACAGCTGCTAGTTAACACAAGAAGGCTCAGAAAGATGACGATGACCTAACTCATTTTGGGCCAGTCAGAAGATGAAATATTTGTCTTTTTTTCTGAAGTTGTGTCGTCTCGCTGTACAATCAGCCACTAGTAAGCTGATAATCAGAAAGTACTTTGCAGTGCTTTCTATTTAATGCTCTCCTTTTTCAATTCTGGCATCTCTTGTCTCAACAGGCAAGTTACCTCGTGGACACATTTCACAACCAGATTTCAATATACATCCATAACAGAAGGCCACTGTCATTACTATAGTTACACTGAGTAGCTGCTGACATGATAAACAAGTGGCATCCTCCTTTATTATTTATATACTAGCTTCATTAGGGCCCATTCCTGGCTTGTCCAGACTTGGAAAGGTTTACTCTCTAGCACCTGTATACAAACAGTCACCCACTGAGCTGGCACCTCTTTCCAAGGACTATTGCATACCCAAATCGCAATCAGCACGCAATGATGCTAACGATCATATACTTTCTCAGCTAAGGAAGCAAGCAGAAAAAGTTGAATGATTTGCAAGTAAAGGGCATGAAGATATTGGTCATAAAGTCTCATCATTCTCATCAATAGCCCTTACGCACAATTATGAAAAACAGATTCACC